CAATTAGATATTAACACCTTTGCATACAATACACATATTTCCAAGAAATCTCAACCCTGGCTACTTAGTTACAACAACAATGATATTATTGTTGGTAAAGTTCGTAAATATCTCTCTAATAATTTGATCTCTATCACTCACTAGAAAACTGATATTGACACTAGTCAATATCAACTTTATCCTCTTCAACCTGTTCAATGCTAGCCATGTACTGGATGCCATCTAAACTCTAATAGAATTGACAATCACTGTACTATTAATATTTCACCTATTATCTCCACACAATTCTTTGGAAGGATCTCTTTCCAAAACCTTAACTTTCATGCCAACTATATGGATCTTATCTACTCTACAGCAGTTAAACACCCTACTCAAATCTCAACATTACCTGTAATCCCTATTAACCACTCCATAGTACCTCAAAATTTTGAGGCTAGAAAAGCTACATTTAAGCTCGAACATTTCTCAACCACCAACTCTACACAATCTCAATTCAACTTCTATACAGATGGATCTGTAATTAATATTGGTACTGAACAATATTCAATGGATATAGGTTGGGTTCAGTTAGATTCCAACAATAATATCATATATAAGTTCTCAGCAATAATTCATTTTTAGCCATCCTCTTACAAAACAGAACTTCTTTCTATTTTATTAGCAATTTCTATTACTCCATGCAATTCAACTATAAATATCTTTACTGATTCACAGTCTGTTATCTTCAAATATTCAAATCTTATTAACTCTCACAATTTTAATAAAATTTTCAAATTTAGTTCCTGGCTTCTATAGCACACCTTACTTAATATTATTAAATCATATAATCTACAAATTATTTTTCACAAAGTTTAAGCCCATACTGACAACTATCATAACAACTTAGCTGATATACTTGCAAAACAACATATATTATCACCCCTATTAGATTTTATATACACTAATACTTACAATCCTTATCATATCATACAGTAGAAGCAACACTCAATTGAATCCTCTACAAGATATTTTATTAAAAACATTTGTAAATCCCATATCTTAGCACTATGATTATTACAAAATCACAATGCTGAATGGTCACCCTTCACTCAATATATTGACTAGAACTCCTCTTAGCTATATTTTAATCATAACCAAAAATCTACTCACAATTATACCAACTTTAAACTTAATCAACTCAAATCTTTTAAAATTAAAATCTTACTCAATAAGCTATCTATTTCTTTCTTTTATTATACTAGATACCCTCTTACCTTTAATTATCCTAACTGCTTATATTGCAATAGATTAGACTCTGTCTCACATTGGAAAGTTTGCCCTAACTCTACTACCCTTTTCAATATTATTACCAATTCTATTTCTGAACTCATTCACAACTCAGCACTAGATCTATCTTGCGACCAAACTCATGAACTTATTGATATGATTCAAAATCATATAGCTTTTAACAATATGCAACTAAGGCCTCATGAACTTTTCTTAGATATTACACTTAAAGGTTTCATTTCTATATCTCTAGTTCAAACTATTCAAAATTTTAATATCCTATATAAACTGGCATCTCAAACTATTATCAAAATTTTACTCCAAATTAACGAACTTATTTACAAATAATTATGGAAACCATATTGTTGTAACTTTTCAAACTAAAAGAAGCAATACCAAATTACTTTACCATATAACCAACCTCAGCTACAAAACCCTACCAACAAAATCTCAAAACAAACCTGTAAAACCTATACTTATTCATGCCAATGTGGCTAACCAGACCAACTACATATCAATAATTCTTGCCTACTACTAGGGCAGACCGTTTGCAAACTCAAAATCTTCAATATATTATGGATTAAATACAGTATATCTTCTAATTACATTTTATCTATCACAATCTAGGTGAGTCTTTGACCACTCTAGTAGATTTAGGTTGCAGATAAAGTAGTCTAAGCTTTTATTCTTGCATGTAGTTTTTACTTTTTATATTTTAGATATTTAAAGGTTAGCAACTCTTTGTAGTTACTATGTTAAAAACTATTAATAAAGATATAAGCAAGGCCTCACCTTAATACCAAAAAAAAAAAATATATATTTTTTATATACAAGAGCAAATCTAATTTAGATAGTTATATTTCTTATAATTTCATCTCTTTAAAAAAAGTATCAAAAAATTTTGTCTTTTAAGTAAAATAGGTTAAAAATAATTTCATCTTCAAATTTTAATTTCAGGTTTTAGATTCTAAAATAATTTTGTCAGTATGTATAGTCTAACTGCTATAAACAGAAGATATAATTTTTAATTAAAGTAAAAATTATACTTATCTATTAGATATCATTATAAATCTGTACAAAATCCTTGTAGCTATATTGTTATTATGGTACTGCTATTAAGAAATTCACAGTACTATAACAACTTTTGGTTGTCTATTTAAATAATCTGCTTATTACTAAGTTCTATACTAGTAGCTATACCTATAATTTGATTAGAGAGTTATCTATTTAAATATTTTATAACTATATAAAATACTTTACAAACTAAGCAAAAGTACTATTATCTTCTTATTTTTGTATATCTAGTTTAAGACTTTAAAACAGACACTTTTTTAGAATTCTTTATTCTTGAAAGCAAACTTGCTAGATCCTTCTGTATCTTACATATAGCTAATCTAAGCTTTAGTAATTTATATCAAGTTTGAGAACTTGTATTTGCAGTTAGTTTTTCAATCTTTACTACTATTATTTAATACTTGCTATTATAGATTTATCTAAAATCTTAGCTTTTACTTTATAGTATATCTTTAATATTTTAGTATACTCTGCAATTCTCTTTAAACTTCTAATTTAGATAGCCCAAAAAGACTGTAACCTGTCTCTAGTATAGTGCCTGACAAAAGTTTTTTTGCACCTAATATAAGTTCTCAAAATTATGCATAGTATTTTAAAATTTTTTGTAAGCAAAAAATATCTTAAAGATAATTATCTATATGTTTTACAAAATGATAAGCTTCTTGTATCACAGTACTGTATAATTACAAATTTTTATGTAATCACCAACTATAAAAATCATGCAAATACTTTTGAATAGTATACCCCAATAACAAAATAATCAATTTTAAATATTTGAGAATTTTTTGAATTTTACATGTTCATAGAATTTAAAAAAGTTTTTAAATATCAAAATTGATTACTTCATTGTTAAGAAATTTATAAAAAAAATTTGATGGCTAACAAATTTTGGATAGTACTAGTTAAAAGTTCTTTTAAAATTCAAACCTATATATCTCAACAACAATATAATCAATTTTGGTAATTAAGATTTTTTTGAATTTTATAGTTTTGTAGAATTCAAAAGAGTCTTTAAATATCAAAATTGATTACTTCAATGCTAAGATATTATTGTTAAAAGTTTGTTAAAAATTAAAAATTTTGTAATTTTTTAACAAATTTCTAACAATAATATCTTAGCAACAAAATAAGCAATTTCAGTATTTAAAGATTTTTTAAATTCTACAAAACTATAAAATTTAAAAAAAATTTTAATTATTAAAATTGATTATGTTGTTGTTAAGAAAACTTTATATAAATTTTTAAAACAAATTTATCCAGTAATTATATATTCAGGCTCTTATAATATTTATATAGTAGATGTCTGTTAAAAGAATCTATCAACCTGTAGATAATATAGAGATCTATATTCAAGGTTTTCTTGTTTATAGGAAGTAGAAAAATGCTACATATAATTTTAAGAGATCTACAGATACGAAAAAACTTTTGTCAGACACTGTATATTAAGTTTAACCCAATATTCTTTTTTTAGTTCAAATTCTAGTAGTCTAGTTGATATATTCATTTGTTTATAGATTATGCTCTATTTAGATCATCTTGTCGAGTATCTGTTTTTTGGATCTAGCTTTTACAGTAGTCATATTGCTTATTTATTTGCTATTTTATTTGTTATATTTAAATTAAAAATATAATTTATAATTGTTTATTTGATTTTATAAATTTATTTGTTTTGTTGTTATTTATATATCTTTTAAAATTAATTTTTAGAATTTAGACAAATTTTAAAACTTTTAAAAATTTTTTAAAAATTTTTGAAAATTTAATTTATTATTTGCTTTTTGGTTTTGAATAAAAAACTATTCTAATTAATTATAGATTATTTTAAGTATTTTTTTTTGCTTAGTATAAAAATTTTGTTTTTTTAACTCTATCTCTATTCTAATATATATAAATAATAATATACTATAAATTGCTAAATTAAAAAAACTAAAATAAATTTAATTATCAAATTTTTTTATTTAATAGCAACTATACAAATTAATTTCTTAAATTTATTCTTATTACCAACTCTAGCTTAACATTCATAACTTTTATTAACTCTCTCAAGTCTATTTCTACTAGCCAATATTCATTTTCTAAGAACTGTGGGTAGGAGGATATTCTTGCATTGTTAATGTCGAATCTCTACTATCAGGATTATTAGGATTAGAGCAGCTAGGATTAATCTGAATTTGATTTTCTGTTTGTTATTTTATAATTAAAATTGGAATTAAAAAAGAATGAACTGATTTCTATTTATTACAGTCAACTATCGGCATAATAGAAATTTTAAAGTTCTGTTATATAGTATAATATTCGCTATCTATATATATAACGTTTGACAAACATATACAGTATTGATTGAGACTAGAATCTTAATATGATTAGAAATTGCAATAACTGTGTAGGGAAATTGCCCGTATTTGCAAAGTCGTGACAGAAAAATGTCGTGAAATATGTGATCCCTGGTCTTCTCCGATCCTACCACATGATTGTTTGCATAACTGATAATTCTTTGCTCTAACGCCAGATAATATCTAGCGCTTTAGTAATAAAATTATTGGTCATACTAGAGTTGGATCCACGAATATTTACGGATAAAATGAATATTCAATTAGCAGTGAATATTCTGTTACACAGATCCGTGAATAGTCAAGAATTATATTATGAATATCTCCGTATAAAATATCCTGCATGAATATTTCTGTGCAAATATCCGTGTAAATATCTGTGAATATTCTGTGCGAATAGTTTAGAAATGTAATCACGTGAGATTATCTGAATATTCGTGAATACTCTACGAATATCCACGAATTCTCTATAAATACCACGAATTCTCTGAACATCCGCAAATTTTCTATAAATATCTGTGAATTCCCCGAATCTCCGTGAATTCTCTATGAATATCCATGTAAAATATGTATATTCATTCATTATTATTCGTGAATGATTAAAATCCGCGAATATTCATTAAATAGGTGTGAGGGATATTCGAAGGATCCCAACTCTAGGTCATACAAACGATCATATGATGGGTCGGAGAAGATCGGTGATCACATGTTTCACGACATTTTTATGCCGTGACTTTGATATTTCGGGCCCCTGATTGGTCATAGTACTGTACCATTTCAGAAAATTTTCTTGCCTGATCGAACATATGTACGAACATTTTACATTATTTATACAGTTTAAAGTATTTTTTTTAAAAAAAAAAAAAAGTTGCGAACAAAAAAGAAGTATATAGAACATTTTATTATGGTTGTAGGACTCCACTATTAAAATAATCAAAATCTCTTTTTGTTTTAGTGAAGTTAGCATGGTAATAACTTAGTTCTACCTACCATTAAGAAGTCGCTATTATATTAACTTCTCTAAAACCAAAAAGGATTTTGATTATTTTAATAGTGGAGTTTTACAACCCTAATAAAATCTTTTTTGTTTATTCTTCGTAGTTTGATTTTTTTAAAAAAGTACTTTAAACCTGTATAAATAATGTAAAACTAAATTGATTTAAGCAGTCAACCATACAAAAGTCTTCCTATGGCCTACAGCCTAGGACTGCTCGTATTAGTCTCCAACTAATGCAGTATATTAAATTCGTTATACAGCCAAACCTCTCTAAGTGCACCCTCTATAAGTGCACCCTCTATAAGTGCACACACTCTTTAAATGCACACACAAATTCTGCCCAAATATATACTTGACCTCTCTCTATAAATGCACTTTTTCTTATTATTCTCTAAATGCACGTTGTTAAGCGTGGTCCCAAGAGCGTGCACTTAGAGAGGTCTGACTGTATAAATTAATAATTAATTTAATAATAAAGTTTACAAATGGGTTAGTAAATATGTTAATTAAATCAATGATCCGCTCCGTTATATCGATAGTTGACTTATATTAGTTCATTGAAAATATTACTCGCTTTGAATCTTACCACTCGGATATCCAAGATAAGGCATAAGAGAAAATGTTCCACTAAAATGTTCTGGTATCTTAAATTCCAACATTATTTGAACTGCCGTTCCGGCCGGGATTGGACACAGAAGACTGTAATTACCAATACAAACTTGCTGAATATAGTTATACCATCCATCAGATTCATGATATATTTCAATATAAATTTTTGTTTCGTTACTGATATCTTTTTCAATTGTTTTATTAAAATCAAACACAAGAGGTTGTCCAGCAATTGGTTTTTGAGGGGTAGTTGTCATATTAAGTAGTAATGAAAAATTTTTACAATCAGCATCGACTATGGAAAATGAAATAGATAAAATTAATAAATATATAAAATTTTGAATCATGATTTTTATAAAAGTAATTTGAGCAATATCAATCAAGAAAACTAAACCTTTGAAATTTAAATATTTACCGTATCATTTTTAGCCATTAAGAATTAAATTCTACTGATAATAGATCATTTTAGCAACACTTAGTATGGATTAAAACCGGTTTAACCTATAAAAATTTATCCATGATTCTTGGTCAGATTTAGTGATGATACCCGGGTTGAATATTGCCCGGGTTATCTGCGGATAATCAGATATCCGGGTTGTAAACTCAGCTACCCGGATAAACATACCCGAATAATACCCGGGTAGACATACCCAGATAATCTTCGGGTAGCAAAAGTTTGAATATTCATAAAGATTGTCCAAACTAACTAAATGGAAATAAAACTAATA